ATTACTATATATCTCCTCGAGTTACCAAAGAAAAAAATGTGTCTTTTGGTATATTTGAGCAATGTTTTTTGTAGTAAAAGCTATGTTAAAAAAAGGTCACAGAAGCCTATAAAAATTGAAATACGCCAAAAGAATCAGGTATCATTGTTTCATAGTTGAGAAAATCGATTTTCTCAACTATGAAGCAATATTTTTTTCCTAACTATAAAACGAATGAAATCAAGAATACTATATTTGAATTTTTATAGGCATAGACTAATTTTCGTTACAAAAAAAACATTGTTCGTCTATGTCAAATCTCAAAGGTTTTAGACGTAATTCAATGAGTTCTGTCCAATTATGATAACTGAAAAATTTTTGTTGTAAATTCGATTTACTATTTTCTTAGAACATGAGTCATTATTTGATAAATTCTTACCTTATGTTTTTGTGGTCCAGCTGTTAAAGCAACATTTGCTTTCGTTAACTAAAAAGAAAAATGATTTAAAGAAATGGTCATATGATTATTTTGTTATAATCATACTCGAAATTCAGTAACAAGTACATCCGCAATACTACCAAGTACTGTAATAAAATCAAATGCATTCCATTTATCACGAAAATAATTCTATAAATTGAATTTTTAATATAGTTGACTTTATTTTAAAAAAATTTATTATTATTGTTATTATTAGCATACCCTTAAACCAAATGCAATGATTTTAAGGATACTTTCAACAGTAAATAGGGCTGTAAACGTTGTATTGGCATATGTTAATATATCATTGTAAGTCGGTGGACTTCGATAATACTAAAGTAAACAAAAAAAAAGAAATAAAAGATCCGAAATATGTTTTTATAACATAAAATATTTATAGAAAATTTTTTGAATTCTTATCTTAATTTTGAACATATTATTTAATAAGAATACGATCAAGAACCGAATCTCGAAACGATAAAAGTCAATAATTATTTAATTAACAATGTGATATACTATCTCAAAAAAAAAAGAAATTTGTAAACTTTGTTGGCATAAAAACGCCTAGAATATTTCTAGCAGAATGTTTTGTTTCTAGGGTAGATTCAACATTTTTTTTTTTATAAGATTCTCATCTGCAAGTTAAAAACCTCTTGTAATGAAGGACTCTCACTGCAATTCATTAACAACTTATAATCCAATATTTACTTTTATAACACTCAATATTTCTTCAAAAACGTTTTCTAAGTCCGCTGAATGGAAAAAAATGTTATTATTAGTTGCCTGAGGCGGTAAAAACAATTATTGTTTATACAAATAATATGATGCACTACTCGAACCTATCAATCTGATGCAAAGAGAAATATATTTGAGCCTACAAAACGTGAATCTAGGGTAGACTTTCACTTTTCCAATCCTTTGGGCTCCGCCACCTATGCTTATTAAATACGAGTTGACAGTAGATAATAATACGTCATTTTTCAAAAGAAAATTAAACAGCAATAGAAAAATGTTACAATAATAAGACCTTGGTTTCGCTTTTAGTCTATTCTAGCGCTTGTCTATCCAGGTCTCGCGATTCCATCGCTAACGAATATTCAATTATTTTCAAATAAAATGAAATATTACCTTTTAAACTGTTCAAAAAACTTAGAAAACATTCTAAATTTTCTACAGAGGAAATTATCAATAATAACTTACTTTTGCCATAAGTACACAAGTATTAAGTGCAATCATAACCATAATACAAAATTCAAAATAAGATGATGTACATAATTGCCAAATACGATAACGTAATGAACCTTCTTGTTTTGGTTTACATCGTTGAATTGGTTTAGCATTCAACGCAAAATCAATACATGATTTCTAAAAAACAAGACAAAATAAAATTTGATTTAAATAAAAATAAAAACAAAATTAACATACTTGATTTTTATTAATTTCAGCTTCTTCTAATTCTTTTTGTCCTTGATCTTGAAATGTTATAATAATTAAAGCAACGAAAATATTAACGAAAAAAAATGGAAAGACAATAAAATAAACAACATAAAACACTGCAACTTCAAGTCGATGACCAGGTTGTGGACCACGATTAATACCAGTTGCATCAATTGAATGTTGTAAGACACTTAACAAAAAAAAGCAAAACTTTCTATTCAATATAAAATCGAAACAAAAAATAGACTTACGTTGGCCATCCTTCACCTGTTTGAACAGTAAATAAAGTAAGAATAGCTTGTGGTACACTATCATATGTAAAATCATATGGTTCCCATTTTCTTTGTCGGCAGTCTGGTTTACGTTTACCATTACCAAAATCAAAATAAAATCCTCTATTTAATTAAAAAACAAAATGTTTCGAATAAAATAAGACTGAATAGAAAATTTTTCTTGAATACGAACTGGCATTCTTCAGGTGTTAATTTTGATAAATCAGAACATCGATAAAATTTTCCTTTAAATAATTGTACAGCAATAACAGCAAAAATAAATTGAAATAACATATAAACAATTCTATAATGTTTTTTTTTTTTTATAGTTTTTGATTTAAATTAAAATAGAATTTAAAATAATCGAAAACAAAAAACTTACAATATTGTTAATACATTAGATAATGATGTAATAACACAATCAAATACAGCTTTTAATTTTGGTACACGATTTATAGTTTTTAATGGACGTAAAACACGAAGAACACGTAATGATTTAATTGTATTTAAATTTTTTCCAGCTCCATTTTCCCTTTAAATACAAAAAAATATCTCTCAAAATGTTCTTTTTGTTTTTATTTTAGTTGTTAAATATTTCTTACGTAAAACCAAAAGCAACTAATGCACATATAACAACAAGTGCATCAAGTAAATTCCATACATCACGACAATATGCTCCTTCATGAAGTACAACACCCAAATCAACAATCTAAAATAATTATAGATTTTAAAAATTAGTGATTTAATATATAATCAAACTAACTTTGAGCAATAATTCAACTGTAAATACACCTGTAAATGCGTAATCAAGATAATTAAGTATAAGATTACGACTAGAATTTTCATGTACAGGATCTTCAGCAGCTAATGATATTGAACTCAGACATATGACAATCATAATGAGTAATTCAAAATATCGAAGAGTAACAATAAAATGACAAAACCGACGGATCCTAAAAATAATTTTAAAAAAAGCAATATTTTCAATTGAATATTCTTATCACTTACGGATTCGTAGTGCTAAAAATAAACATTGAACTATGTGGAAGAATAGGTTTAACAACACGTGATGCCTGTTCTTTTTTCTTTGCAGCTGCTTCGGCGGCAGCAGCTTCTGCTTTTTTTCTTGCTTCTTCATTAGCACGAGCTTTTGCAGCGGCAGCTGTTTCTTCAAGTCCTGGTAATTTATCTAACGACGCTATTAAAAAAAAAGTAAATGAACTTTTCTTTTTATTTTTTTAGTTTTAATTTTATTTTTACTTGGAAGATAAACTGGACCAAGATCATAATCTAAGCCAGGTATATAGTCTAAATCAGCTTTTTCAAATAATTGTCTATCTAAAAAATCTGTATTGGCTTTTGAACTTGATGAATTATATTGTGATGATGGTTGAACATCAAAAGCGGTTTTAACGGCATTTTCAACATATTCTTTTTTTGTACTATAAAATAAAAATAACAAAAATATTTTTATAGATTAAGAAAATAAACAAAACTTCTTCATTAACATACGTTTGTTGAAGATTATTTCTAGGAATCATTGTATCTTGTTCTGGTTTTTTTGTTTTCATATTTGGTGTTGTTGTTGTAGTTGTCGTTGCCACTGTATCTGTTGGTACTGAACCTAACTTAAACATAGATTCAACATCTTTAGTTTCACGTTCACGTTTCTAAATAGTTTCATATATAGATAGATAGATATATATATATATTTAAAGCTGTTTAAAAATAATAATAAAAAACAACTATTTAATCGTAATTTACTTCTTCTTCGGCTGCTTGTTCCTCTTCTTCATCTTTAGTTAATTCATGTGCATTAGCTAAATTGTCAACAGCAATAGCCAAAAAGACATTTAATAATGTATCTAATAATTTTAATGTCAATATAAATAAAAAATAAAAATATATTTAGATATAACTTACAATTGCCAAATAAGACAAGAATTATAAAATAAAGTGAATAGATCATTCCCATACCATTTTCATTTTCTTGGGATATAATTCCATTATACATAATTTCATTCCAATCTTCACCAGTTAAAATCTGAGACGTAAAACAAAAGAAAAAAAGAAAATTCTTTAGCCCAAAATAAAAAGCCTTGATCTTTTACTTGAAAGACAGTTATTAGTGCTGTAGCAAATTTATTAAAATTTTGTAATGGAGTTCCATCTTCAAAACTAAATCTATTGGATGATAATGTAAAAAAAAAGAAAGAAATAAACACAAAATTAATTCTAAACTTCTAACAAATGAGAAAAAAAAACAGATTAACATACTCGCCACCAAATAATTGCATGCCCAATAATGCGAATATAAGAATGAATAAGAAGAGAAGAAATAGTAAACTGACAATAGATCGCATACTACTTAAAAGTGATACAACTAAATTTCGTAAAGATGCCCAATGCCTAAACAAAAACAAAAAATAGAGCAATTCTTGATATAAATAAGAAATTTAAAAATATTTTATATAATTAATAAAGAATTATTAGTATGATTACGAATAAATATTGATTTCATTATTTTTGTGAATCTATTTTCTAAGAGAAACATCAGTCAGTTATTGTGCATTAAGAAAATTCTTTGAATCATTTCCGGTAGAAACCATTAAGATGACTGTTAGCTTTTGTTACTATTAAAAGATACAATCGGAAACTTTCTAATGAGATCTTCTTGAGAATAAAACAGTATATTATATCAAAGAAGGTTTTTCTTGTCTTAGTATTTAGTTCACTAACATATTCATCTAGTTTCTTTTTTTTTATAGAAAACATAAGAGATATTGTAAATAGACATGAACAAGATGACTTAAAATCTCAAAAGAAATTATTTATTCATGTCTGATTGAATAAATTCCAAGAAAATATTAGAAACAGATTGATTCGCAAATCGTTTCGAAATAGACTGATTCCACTTATAACCATACTCAAATACCCGAGTAGTATCTGTAGGGTATGATAGTGTTCAAGATACTTAGCTAAAAATAGTTACAAGTTCTAATTTTTTTTTTCTTTTATGAGAAATCTATAATTAAAAGAGAATATTATTCATAATTATACTAAACTTATTCGATTTTTTTTTATCATACTAACCTAGTCACTTTAAATATTCTTAAAAGACGTAAAGATCGAAGAACTGAAACACCAAAAGATTCTTCAGGATTAAAATGTGTCCAAATAACTTCAAATATTGAACCAAAAATAACCTTGAAAGAAAAAACAAATAATTACTTAAATAATAATAATAATAATAATAAAAACATACGACAAAATCAAATATATTAAATGATGATGCAAAATATCGATTAACTCCAAGACCATACATTTTAAAAAGCATTTCAAAAACGAATAAACCAAGAAATATGAATTCAGCAATATCTATATAGAAAAAATGGAACATTGTAAGATTCATTTTTTTTTTGTTCAAATAATGTTCTCATACATAAAAAATCCGTAAGAAATTGTTTTTGTCGATCATGTTCAATAGCAACACAAACAGTATTCAAAAATACCAATACAATAACAGTCCAATAAAATGCTTGAGTTTTAACTAATATACGAATTTTACTTCTAGATATAATAATAAATGTAATACATTATTTTCTCTCTTTTTTTTTCTTCTAGGTTTTTTTACTTAATCACACGTTGTTGAATATGCCATCGACGCATGAAAGTTCGTGGTCGATCGGGTCGTTCAATGTCTGTACCACGACCACGATTAAACGCATTGTCTAGAAAATTAAAATTAAATAAAGTCTTCATTGATAATAATACATACCAATATCTTCTTCATCGTCATCTACACTATGCTGTTTTCCTGCTCGATTATGTCGAGTTTTTTTTAATTGTGCATATTTTCGAGCTAAATAATTTTATGAACGACAAATATTCTTCTTTATGCTTTTTTTTCTTAAATAAATTTACCTTCATGAATAGCACGTCTTTCTTGTTCAGTAGTTCGTTCTTCATTTAAAATGACATCCTCTATGCAAAAGAAAAACAAAGGAACCATTGATTTATTTTTATTATAAAAAAGATAAAATGATGTTTTTTTTTTACCAGCTCGATTAATCCATTCGATATAATTATTATATTCACGTTCAATTTGTTGTTGACGACGAATTTTTAAAAAAGCTCGACGATTTTCTACACGTTCTCTTTCTTTCGCAAATTCTCTATTTAATCAAAAAAGATTTTGTACAATAGAAAAAAAAAAAACTCCAAAAAGCTTCTAGAATTTTTACCCGCTCAAAACACCAAGGACAAGATTAAGCATAAAAAATGAACCAAGAATAATTAATGGTACAAAATAGAGCCAATTAAATAAAGTCCCCACAGCATCATTTGTCTTCCAACAGAAAAAAAAAAGCAAACGTATTCTTATATTCAAATAATTTTCTCTTCATACCCAATATAATATTTGTGTCCAACCTTCCATAGTTATACATTGAAAAACAGTTAACATAGCAAAACCAATATTATCAAAACTAGTTATGCCTTTATTAGGTCCTACCCAATATTCTCGACAAACAAGTGACTCATGTGGTATATTACATGTAAATACACCATGTTTTAGATTTAACCAACCCCATATCGGTTCTAATTAAAAATAAATATTCTCGAAAATCATTTTTCTTTTTTTCTTTTCAACTCCAATAATTTACCTCCAGGTATTCCACATGTTGTTGCCATATGATCATCACCTTTATACATTACTAAAAGTTCAAAAATAAATAATATAAAACATTTAAACTGCCAAAAAAAGAAAATTTTTAACTCACATTCATCACTATCATTGTCAGCGGCTAAAAAACGAAATAATTTTACATAGATATATACATATATAAGAAAGATAATAACTGAAATCTCTAGAGACTAAAATAATAACTTATTAATTATTATGAATATGTGAAAGAGGTTGTTTTTTTTTTCTGTCAATATAATGCTCAATTCAATTTTTTATTAATCTTATTCATTTTTTTTTTTGTCTTTTTTAACTATATGATTATGAAAAATAAGAAGAAAAGGATTTGAATTAATCTTAAATTCTAACCTGTTCGATTTGCATAAAAACAAGTTGTATGAAAAACGCCTGAATATAATTCAAGGCCAATAATAGCAAAGATAATAATAGCAAAAAGAACGAGAAGAGCTATTTGAAACAATGGAGCCATTGCTTTTAATATAGATTTAAGCACCACTTGAAGACCTATAGAAATCTTATGTAGATTTTTATTTTTAGTTTTTTGCAAACGAAACAAACTTGGAATGCCTGAGACAAGTTTCAGCGGCCGAAGTACACGTACTGCACGTAATGTACGTAAATCGAATGAACTATCTTTTTTAATACTAATCGTTGCTAAACTAAAAACAAATGAAAGAAAAAAAAATAATAATAAAACAATCAAAAAGAACAATTATATATTTTTGTTTGTGTTATTTACCCTGTAACAACAACAATAAAATCCATAACATTCCAAAGACTTCGAAGATATGAACGTTCATGTAATACGAAACCAAGAGCAATTATTTTAAGTGCAGCTTCAAAACAAAAAATTCCAATAAAATAAATTTCAGTTTTTTCCTAACAAATAAAAAAAAGCAAAAATTAATAATAATAATAATAATAATAATAATATATTAACTAATGATCTAGCTAATGTTGTTTTATCATCACGTGGCAAATGTTCTTCAAGTGCTAAAACAATACAATTAGCTATAATTGTTAATAGCACCATATATTCAAAAGGACTAAAATAAATATGAAAAAGAATATTTTCTTTGATTCTAATTGAATTTATTAGTTTAAAAAAACTTACTTCCATTCAATAACAGCATTAGCTCGTTTTCGTATCCAATTATTTTTTGAAAATATAAATAATGAACGTTGACTAGATGAGTTAATTTGTTTAGCATAATATTTTATTTTTGCTTTCCATGCTCCAGTTCGTCCCGAATGAAGATTATGTGGATCACCGCCAGTTAATGCTGCCAAATTACCGCCTTCTTTCAAAGCCCTGATCATAGCAGATACATTATTGAAATCACCCATGACTTTGGCTTTTAAATCTTCACAAGATTATCTAACTACTATATCTTTTCTCGTTTAGAGAAACATGCGTCTTGAAATATAAGACCAGGGAGCAGTGTGCACAGTAAGAAGAAAAAAAAAAAAGAGACACAGACAAGAAGATAAAATGCTGTTGACAAACGCACTGCTTTGCGCTCGAGCCGGCTGATGAGAAAAAGAAGAACACGTTCAACGATCTCTATTTTTTTTCTTCGTCTGTTCTTTCTGCTTCTTTTTTTGTGTGCCACGATGTTAGAAACACACAACGGAACAAGCCCGCCCTTTTCTTTTCTCGTTCTATTGATGTGATTCCCCAACAGACATGCCTGAACACCAGAACTTAGACGAAAGAACCGGACTAAGTCTTTTACATAGACATACAAAATCGACGAAGAACGAGAAAGATGATCAATTTTACAGTATATACAGAAAAAAAAATAAGAAATGAGAACTTTTTTTCTTTTGGTATATGCATGTTTGTGTGTGGGCTTGATTTGTTGTCCCTTTCGTGTGTTATTGTCGTTCTTTTATAGAACAATTAAGAAAATAAAAAAGACAATCGATTGATACACGATATAAAATCATATAAGTAACAAGTAAAAAATTTTCTGTTTTATCTTATTGGTCTCAAGTGTGACATTGATGATTTTCGAAGTGTCCTTGGGGTAAATACTAAAATACTCAAGAGACATCAAAAACAAAAATGTCTTTTTTTTTATTAACTCAATGTTCATTTGATAATAAAAAAGCAAATTTTTATATATTCGATTATTTAATATCAAAATAAAAAATAAAACATTCACTCATCAATAAAAATAAAATACAATCATAATTTTTAATTGTTATGGACGATTTAACATGAATAAGTCAACATATCAAGATATATTCGATTCAGAAGACTGCATGTCAAATCAGAGAAATAATCGAATTTTTCATTGAATCTATTTATAGAAATTATTTTCTTCTTGAACAATAATCAATTTATTAAATCTACTAAACAATATTTACCATATGGAGAAGTTAGGTTCGAATAAAAATAAGAAATTAAAATTTCTTTTTATTTATAAATTTATAAGCAATAGTTACAATCTTAATTGTTGATTAAATCAATCCAAAAAAAAGAAAATTTCTCAGATAAATCTCTATTTTGTTCATATATAAGGCTGCAATCAATTGACAATTTCCTGCTTCGTACTGTATGCACTAAAGACTGATAGCATTTTTTTTTGTTCTATATATATTAGGTTGAGCAAAAAGTTCGCGGTCATGTTTGCAAGTGACCGCGAACCTTTTAATCAATCTAATATATATATATAGAATATGAAAAAACCACGTTAACATTCGGAATATTTTTAATCATATCGGTCAAAAATAAAACTCTTAAGCATCGCCATTAAACTAAATAAGATAGTTTATAATGATTTTGTTCAACAATTTGTTTTAGACGAAGAATTTTCAATTATTATAGAAGGTTTTCATCTCATTATTTTTTAAAAAAAAGAAAACTATAGGTGTTAAAAAAAAATTAAAAATTTATTTAGAATACAAAAAAAACATTATCATCACGTACACCTAAAAATAGAGCTAATTATTTGAATGAGAAGATAATACTCTTCTTTATTTTTCTTGCATTAATATGTGCGTTGGAGAAATACTTCTAAGCGTTGATTTAATCTTAAGATAAAGCTTATAAGAAAACAATGAGAAATTTTCATTATAGTTGAAACTAAATTACAATATTTCATGTGATGAATCATAGTCAAAAAAAAAAAAAAGAAAACTTTCTCTATAATCAAGTCTTATAAAACAAGAAAACTTTTTTTTTTTGGAATAAAATATCAAGTTTGAAAAATAGCAGGTTTTTTTTTTTTCTTCTGTTTGTCTTATTTTTTTTCTCTCAAAGAAAACCTTATGATGTTTCTTGCCTTCTGGCAATAGATTGTTTTTAATGGTATTTTATTAAAACGAACACAAGAAATACTTTCCCGAACTGTAACAAAAAATATGTTGACAGTTCAGTAATATCTTAAAATATGTACTAACAAGTTGTTGTTTTTAATTGAAAAATATATTTTTAGTTCTGATAATTAGATAATGATAAAATTAAAAGTTGTCGAAAAGATTTAAAATTGATTTTGACATGAATTATTATTTTCGTATGATTTTGCATTCTTTAGAATATATGGTAAGGTTTAACTAAAATAATAGTAAAGTTTGACGACAATCTTGTCATGCATCTTCGAAAATCAGATCTATCAAGTTGTCACAAAAGATTATCGTCTATTGTTGTTTTGTTTTTGTTTCTTTCATCTATTTCATCATCAATCAACTCGAGACAATATACTCATAAAATCAGATAAAAAAAAAAAAAAAGAACAACATCAAGTAGCTATAACACATCATAAAAATATTCTATATTGAAACAGTAGCAACTGTAATATTAACTCTAATAAGAGTGTTTTTTGCGTTAAGAGCAATATAATCTCACACTTTTGACGTCGTTTATGATCGTTCTTCTTCTTCTTTTCTTTCCTAACGGTAATGATTGATTTCTATTGATCTCGTAAAGAAATCAATATTCTGAGAGTTTTATAACTATAACGTAAATGTCTTTATAATCAATTTCATTTCCGTATAATGATCTGTATTCTTTAATACATTATATTGAGTTTAATGATTTAATCCAAAGGGTGATGTGAAATGAATGTTGATAGTTCAAAAACTTTAACAAAATATATTCAAATTTTTCATTTATCTTATTATATTATATCTATAAAATTGTTTGTTCTTTTTTCTATTTTATAAACTTAAAGAATAAATCTGATGCAAAGCTTTAAAATTAATATATAAAATAGGAACAGTTTCATTATCAAAAAATAATAAGACAAAAAGTGTTTTTGACGTCAGAATTTGCAATAATTTAAAATCATTATTGAGCAAATCTATGGGTATCCAACGACTTTTTTGGAAAAGTCGTTTTTTTTATATCTTGTTTTGCATGATAGTGTTAGGTGGGAAATGGTCAATATATAGCCTTGATAAAAAAAAAATTGTTGACTTTCATTTGTAATAGCCAAGATTTACAGCGTTCGCTGAATATCTGATGAAAACCATTGAATTTAATACAATATTTTACCGGTTAGTGAGGGATCATAAAAGAATTTTTTTTATGATTTAAATTGGATCGAAATATGATTGATTCAAAACATAGTATTTTCATGAAGTTATAGATGTACGAAAAACTTGTATTTTGAAACGTTCATATCTCGACCAAGTCTCAATGAAAAGAAAAGTCCTTGAAATATTATTCTAGTCTACTGGTCTCCTTATCAATAAGTAAAATATGAATTTAAAATATTACAATTACTTGAATAGTCTTCACTATAGATATTACCAAGAAATGCTCTGAATCTTGATTATTTCTCACTTAACTAGCATAAAATAGGTGGTAAAAAAATGTATTTGAATCCCCATGGATTTATTTTATTCTCATTATAAAAAATGAAAAATTATCATATTTGGTTTATTTTCTTGTTCAAATTGTAAACTATTCTTTCCAAAATAAATAAACAATTGTCCCTATTGAAATTTTTTACATCATTTATGACAATAAAAGAAAATCTAATATATTTTGAATGAATTTTCTCCGAATTTCAATTTAGAAGAAGAAGTCTCACAAAGCTTTACTCTTCATTTTTTTTAAGTGTCTATTTTATTTCTTTTTTTTTTTTTTTCTTAATGAATTGAATGTTAATTTTGTTATTAAAAAACGTGTCATATGCCATTTTCTATGGTTTTCTAATTGCATTTTTTTCTAAAGAAAAAGTTGTCCTAATTTGATTAGAGCAAAAAAAAATGACATATGCTATTTTTTATAGTCTTTATTTCATGCAAAAAATAATTGTTGAAAATTTCTGTTATTTTGCTTACAATATTTTTTTGCTTCTAGCATTTATTCATAGTAGTCAACCATCTTTTTTTTCTTTCCGGAACTATATCTTCTATGATTACATGATGTAGATGTTTGACAGACAAGTTGTTTTGAATTTTTATGGACACGATAGGCAATTTATTCTTTAGACTATGTCGTTGTTTTTATGTATCTATTCTCTTAAACAGTATAATTCATGCACATTAAGTTCTTCATATATTCTATGAATGCTACTTCTCCTCTCCGTTTTTCGATAAAAATAACGCAAATTAAAAAAAAAAAAACAAGAAAACTTGTTTTTATGATGTTATTGAACTAGAATAGATTTACTTTGATAATGTTATGCAATTTAAATATCTATGGTGTACTCTTTCAACTCATAGTATTTGGCAATGTAACCTATATCAAAAATTGTTTGTCTTTTTTCAATATTAGACGTGATAACTTAGCCGTTACAATTTTCTAGCACTTCTAAATTGCTTAGTAAATTTATTATTGACTTCATTGACTTTATAAGAAGTAAATTACGCACTTGAATTTTAGCATGTCTATTAGCTAAATAATAATAATAAATATAAATGTGAAAAACGGTATTTTTACCTACGTTAGCTATATAAAGAATTTACTGTAGCTATGAAATTAACTTCTTTCAAATGGTCAAATAATAAATACAGTCAACAATATTTTCATTCGATATTATTTCCATAAATTCTATTCAAACTTCTTTCAATATGTCATGTCAATACAAATCTATTTTAGTCTACATAGTAAAAAAAAAAATTCATAACAAAATCAATGTTTTCAATTCGTATCGAATTGATTTTGACTAGTTAATTGTAAATGACAGAAAGAAAATGGAACTTAATCTGGATAAATATTTGATTGTATGACTAAAGTTAATTAATAAAATTGATATTTTCTTTCTACTTGAAACTCAACAAAAATGCTTTTTATTCTATTATCAAAGCAAATATTAATTTAATTATTTGTCATGCAATCTAATATCAGGTATGATGTGCCTGGTTGTAATATTGTATTACATTCAACATGA